AATGTTAGCCATCTCTGCCGCTGCTGTTTTGTAAAAGCGTGTCTGTTTCCAGAGTTTGAGAAAAAAAACATGAATGTCTGTTTTATTGCGCAGTTCTCTTCCAGTAAGTTGTGAAAATATGACTCACAAGTCAACTCCGAATAAGAACTCGCGCATCATACTTACTCAAAGTCCTTATTTAAGGTCAAATGAATGCAAATACATTTAGAAAACCAACAAGACATGTTTTGTAACTTCAAAAGGCCGATAGCATCAAGGAGAGAAAATTACACATCGCTGCCTTTCCTGCTAAAACATTTCTTTAGGGATACATTGTCCCAAACGTGCAATCGCAGGCTTGCGTTTCTTTGAAAGCACGAGACTGCCACTTGTTTCTAATAAGAGCCCGTATTTAGCAGAGGCCTCCACAGTGAATGAAACAACAGGTAATATCAATGAGTGGTACATATTGGACTATAAAACCATAGGGTCACCTGCACTCACAGAGCGAGTCCTCAGTAACGCCCAGAACCCATTCATTCATACATCCACACTGCGCCATTCCTCGGCCCCGGGGCTGATGACAAGGTGTTTTTGAAATCGCATTAGGGGCCCTTTCATAAAGGTTTCACTGGGGAGTGTGTAACAGCTTGAAGCATTTAGACTTTGTTTAATACGATGCAGACTCGCTGCTCGATGCTTTGTCTCCTGGGTGGAAAGGGGCCCGGGATGCCAGAGACCCCCACTGTTAGAGTTTGCTTTGATATCTGGAGGTGGAAGGGGAAATAGAGCAGAATAACCCCTGTCCTACACAGACACAAATACACGCCTATACGTATACACACCATCAGCCCACACCCACACCAAAACCTGTGCACGCAGTACCTGACTCTGCCTGGCTGCCCTGCAGAATTATGGCCATCCGATGAAAAAGCCAAGCTTTGAAGTGCAGCTTTCAGCGGCTTTACACCCTATGGGAGAGCTGCCTTAAGAAAAGAAATCATGATCTATAGTCACATGGTGCATGCTGTATCTGTTAGGTAAGGTACCCTGGTTCCAAAACGCTGTCAGTCAAAATTAAGCTGAGAAATATAAATAATTTAAAAATAAAATAGATTTTCACAGATGCTTTTTGTCTAAAGTGACTTGCATTTTTCTCCATGCAGGCAAGAGGATAAATTTGTGGTTCGGTGTGTGGTTTGAGGACTCGGCTAGTTGTTGAACCCAGTGATTAATGGCTGACCTGCTCTACCACCTGAGCTTTGTATTTATATATGTATACACAGATTGGTTGTGGGAGGGGGGGCTCAGATGGATAGGCTGTTTATTTTATCAGTTTTGTCCAATAAGAGAACGCTCTTGGCACAAAGTAACGGTCCCTAAGTTCAGCCACACTCAACTCAAATGCAACTCATTGACTTGACAGTTACAAAAAACAGAGTTGCCAGAGCAATTATGTTGGCCATAACACAATTATATTCATTATGCATGTACAACTTCCAGAATCTAAACTTTAACCAGGCCAGAGAGAAGGGAAAGGGGGTGGGTCGCGGTGATCAGGTCAGAGTAAATTTGCTGAACAAATGACAGAAAGGCCGTGCACTCGGGTGATGATGGGGCAGCCTCCTGCACAAATAACGTAGAATAATTAGAGCTGCACTTGTGACCCTAGTGCCAAGGTTAGCACGACGGTTGGCCCAAGTTTGCAGTGCGATGTGTCAGCCAGCTGGGCTAGGCTACAGTGAGTTTTGGGGGAGGCGGTGCATTAAGGTTGGGCAAACAGTGTTGTTTGATCTGCTGATTGGGCTAGGACAAGCTGGGTGGATGTCAACACGAGGGTGACGTTTACAGCCTGCTGCCGCTCAGTGTCACCTGTGTGACCAACGCTCTGCATTAGAGCTGATCCGCAAGGACAATAAATCTTTTACATGTGACCAAAGCTAATGCAGAATTCCTACAGCTCATCTTTATCTGCCTTCTCATTCGTATTTCACAGATAAATCTGACAGCAGGAGCAAGCAGGCCTGCCCTCAGGGTCCTTCTGCATCAGCCAGAGGGATGCTTGAGTGATTAAAAAGTAATTGTCAAAAGTGGAATAGTTCACTGGCTGTGTGAAATGTAATGATCGGCTGTTAGATGGACTAGTGCGCCCCCCGCCCCCCCGTTCAGGGCCCTTGAATTCGGGCCCCTGGGACACATTGTAAAGATGACACCACATTTTTCCTTCACGCACTCTGAGGATGAAAGCGCTGAAGCATGAAGGGCAGGACTGTGAAGAGGAGCTGTAATGAGGAAAGCAGGTGAGGTATTTAGCCAAAGTTTCACAGCTATTAAAGTGCCAACACACTGGACCCTCACGGCGCTGGTGCTTCTGAGGCGTCAGCATTTAGAGACAGACGGATGTTTGGCTTATAGAAGTTGTTGATGGTGGAGTAGTAGGGTGGGATTACATTAGCGGGTTTTAAATTAGCAGAATAACCCAGATGTTCTTAGATGTCATATTTATTTATTTACATCAAACTGAACGCTTTTGTTTTACTTTCTCTATCTTAGCTCACAGAAAGCGTACGTTATTACGGTTGGTGCTCATATTGTAGGGACTGTAAGTCACAAAGTAGGCGTGCTCTGAAACATACCCTGCTTTACCCTCCTACTGGATACTCATAGCATGAATTGAACATCATGTTATGTTTACTTAAACTTGAAACTAGTGATTGAGATCGTAAGCGTATCACGAAAACGTCTCCTGAGGCCATGAAACAAAAGACCCGAGGGTTATTTTCCCAAAGACCTCTTCCCACTACAAGAGTCCCCCCGCTGTCCATCTCTTACATACAGTCTATGGTTCCTCATCTAAGTAACACGTGTGGTTATTTTTACACCGTATTACGTCTATTCTACCTTCTTTTTCTGCTAGAGTTTCATTAGTAAAATGGGAACAGCTGACCAGGATATGTCTTTGAGCAACTGCTTTCTTTCATCTGAGCAATATCTAAAATTACAAACATCCCATGTCAGAGTGATGCAGAAAGAATTACTCCTAGGCTGGATGATTGCAACTGCTTATTATGAGGCTGTTTTAAAAGCTTCCTGAAATCCTGAGTTAATACAAAACACGTCAGATAAAGTACTGTCAGGAGCTAGAAAGAGTGCCCTACTGAAATCTTTCTCCTCACATCATAACTTGAAGACCTCGTAGTAACATGTTATCCCAGTAGAGCCTGCGGGCTTATTAGTGGTTCCTTGTTTCTGAAAGTAGGATGGGAGGCAGAGGCTCTCCTGTGGATCCAGCTCCCAGTTTGGATTTAGGAGACAGGCACCCTCTCTACTTTTAAGATTAGGCTTCAAAGGTTCCTGAGTGATAACTCTTATAGACAAAAGTATTATGTTACAACTCTTAGTCTTTGAATTCTGGTGATTTTCAGTCCCATTGCCACATGTGCATAAAGTCAAGCACCTGGCTAGGCAGCGTGCCTTTACAAGCATTAGTGAAAGAAGGGGTTGTTTTAAGCAGCCCGCTGAATTGGAGTGTGGCACCATAATAGCATGCCACCATTACAATAAGTCACTTTATGAAATTTCTTCCCTTCTAGATAGATCAACTGTAAGTCATACTATTGCAAAGTCAAAGGGTTTAAGGACCACAAAACCTCAGCCACAAAGTGGCAGACCACATATTGTTACAGAGTCATCAAGTGCTGAGCCACATGATGCTTAAAAGTCTCCTGCTGACTCAATAACTGCACAGATCCAAACCTCTGACATTAACATCAGCACAGAAAACTGAGCCGCAGGAGCTTCGTGGGATTGTTTTTTCATGACCGAGGAGCTTCTGTAGGAGTAACATGTGGGCTGCTCACCAGTTTTGTGTATAAGCCTTGGACCAGGTGACCCTGAACCACCCATTAGTTAGGCTGCAATAGGCTCCAACTGCGAGGGAACTTCCCATCATGCACTGAGCGCTTTTTCTCCACTTCCATCTTTCCACTCCCCGTGTGTGATTGTTGAAGCATTCCCTCTAATATTAAACAGTAATTAATACAAAAAGAAATAAAAAAGGACAGGGAAAAAGGAATGCTCTGAAAGCAAATAAAAATGTAAACATTTCAAGACAGAAGCTTGACATTTATGTCTTTATGTGGTGTATAAAGTCATCCCCAAGCCTGACTCAGTGCATGCTATAGCTTACTTTCCCTCCTCTTTCCACTTCTTTCAAAATGAGACGTCCAAGCTGTTGTTGCAGGAAAGAATTTCTTTTATGCTGTTGTTTTTTTGTATAAATTTTGATCTACATTTTTAGCTACATGTAAAGTACGATTGACTGTATGTCAAACAATCCTGAATTGGATAAACAAGTAAGAAAACGGATGGATGTCAAACAAAAAGGCCACTTTCAGAATGTGTCCGTCTTTTCTGTTCTCCCTGATTTGTGACCTTTGGACAGAGCTGTTGCAGAGCGTCTTTCACACAAACACCTGCATTATTCCAGCAGGATGTGATGTACTGATTGTATTTACAAGCGCACAACCCAGACTCCACAGTTACACTAACATGATAAACACACCTGCCGGCTGATGGCAGAATGGCCTCACAGTGTTTGTCAGTGTAAGACTGCCGGATGTTAAATCAATAAACTACCTCAGTGCAAAAAAAGAGAAGACGTCCGATCCAGCCCACAGAGTGGAAGAATGTTACTCATTCTGGCCACTAAAATTTTCCGCTTGGCTGAATCATATCTCATCCGAATGGTATTCTGAGCTGTTTTTGATGATCTCCAAGTGCAATCATTTGAAAATGCAGCACGGCGTCACTTAATGGGGATAAGCCAGATCCTTACGTATTTTGAAGAAAGTTCATAAATAACGACACAAAGTGAGAATTTCACATTTTAACAAAACAAGCTCAGATTCTTCATTGTGGCTGTCACACAGTGATTAGTTTATTTTATAAAGATTTTTAAGCTCTTAAAGAGACATAATTATCATTATTTAATGATATTTCTACAGATAATATTATCCCACTTATGCTTGTTTAATTTATATGGAAGATTGTTTGTATTCATCTGATTTAATTTGGCACACATTTCATCTGTTTTTAATATGCACTGTATAACTTTTTAGTGCTTTTAGTCCTTTTTATCTCAATATTTAGGTTACAGTGGAACCTTGGAGATGATGTCATTGAAGACAAAATGTGAAAAAATAAAGTAAAACACACACAGGACACCAAAAAGGGGAAAGAATTAGTTAACTAATACCACTAGAGGGACCCAGCAGAGTGGTAACAAAGGTGACTTATCAGTACGACTACAAAAGGTCACGGGCTCATTTATACTCTTCTTCTCTGTTTTATCAAATCTTGTTCTTCACAGGCAAATATTCAAGGCTTTTGGGTGCATTTGCATTGTCCAGCAGGTGCACCGCACACAAATGCAACTCACATGACTCGTGTAACACTAGAATACTTCCCTAACAGAATAAGCTATCGAGCAGGACGGTTTCTCTGACGCGGCATTATTTAAGCTCCACACATCTCGTTCCATGTACAGAGAAATGCCGTGAATGACGTTTCCACGTGAAGGTTTGAATCTCACCGGTCTAACAGAACAACTGGGGACTTCATTTTAATTGACTGTGACCAAAATTCCCACAACAGAAATTCAGCTCCACATCATCCATAAGCTGTCATAACCGGGCTGCTTTGTAATGGTTTCCTATGGGCTCCATTACTGGCACTAGAATTGCCTGAGCAAAAGAAAAATGGGTGTGTTGTTGACTCCCTTCGCCTGTTTTACACATCTAACTACACCTGGAGCGACATCTGCGGACTGCTGAGAGGAAAGCCGAGCACCATCATTACATGGTGTGCTACAGCCTGATAATGGGGCCATAATGCTGCACTGTAAGACAGAAAGGGTTGGCTGTGTGCTGGACCAAAGCAAAGCTCATCTGTTGGACAGTGAAGTAAGAATTACAAATTTGATTGGGGTTAACACCCAACCAGCATGTCAGTTTCAAGGCTGCTCGTCTGGCCCTGCTCAGTTTGCACTTGTGTTGCAGTGTGTGTCAAAATGACTGTCAGGACCCGGGGTTTCCCAGCAGACCATTACCCTGTAATGACACCAGCGATGTTATTCTCGTTGTCTTTGAAAGGTTTTAATGTTCAGGCTTGAACTGTGCATGAAGGCCGCAGTGGAAAATGTAGGTAATGTGTTGCCTTTAAGTAGAGATCAGTGTCACATCTACACAAAATTGCTCCACTGATGGTGCTGCACTTGTCTGGAAAGAAAGATTACACATTTACACGGGATGGAGTAACTTAAAATGCACAGAAAGCCTGAAAATCACTGCATTCTCCAAGCTGCAAACAATTACATGATGATATTTTCCACGAGTGTTTTTGTCATAAATAAGAAATAATTACAAATAAATAAACACAACAGATGACAGATGACAACCGGCCTTATTGCCATGTTTGGAAACAGCACCTGACACGCTACAGCACGCCGCACCGATCTGCTTCTCACGCCCATCGTCTCATTTACATGATCAAGGCTCTTTTTAACACATCAGCTCGCAGCCTAATGAGCCAGAGTCCAGAAAACACTTCAGCACCGCGTGCAGAAGTATGAGTCCTTTACAAGTCCATTCAGTCTCGTGCCAGTGTGCCTCTCTGTGGCAACAATGACGACCCTCTTTCTCGTCTTTGCCCCAAAAACAATGGCTCTCAATTACCAGTCAATAACAAATTAGAATTTTAAAAGCTTCCAAGAACAAAGTAGTGGATAAGACTAAGAAAGCCTGAGGTGTGTGACCTGGTGAGAAGTCTGCAGATGTCTGTCGGCACACTCTCTCCTGCTGGCTGGCTGTCTGTTCTTGACATGCAGTGAGAGGAAAAGGAGGAAAAAAAGTCTGAACCACCTCCTCGCTGAAGCCTGTACGCTCAGGGTGCCCCGTGTTCCTCCGTTAATCCCACTTTATCCAAGAGAGGCGGGCTGTCAGGTCTGGGAAGGGCAGAAAGAGACAAAAGCAGGACAAACACAAGTTTTGTTACATTTTAATGACTGTTTAACAAGTCCTGGTCGGGCCTAACCCCCCACAAAAGAGGCTTCAGAGACGATCGTCACAGAATTAAGTGAAAGGGGGGCAAAGGAATACAACTACTTGAGTTAAGATTACATGAGGCTCATTTAAGAGCAAATGCCCCAAGGAAACACACCTGGGGATAAAGGTCTGTGCTAAACACACAGAAAGTTGCTTATAATGACATTTCCTTTATGGGATTACTGTGAACGACTATTAGAAAACTACTACATTAAGAGCCCTGTGAAAAACTGAAAGGGGATCTTTTCACTGTGCATTGTGTAAAAGAGGCCACATTACAATATATTCTAATAAGGGGAAAAAAATGAACTCAATCTTTATAAAGAAATTCTGATGTTTTTATAAGCTCCTTGAGGCGACTTGCTGTGATTTTGCGCTCTAAATAAATATAGTAAAACTGACTTGAATTGAACCAGGTCTGCTTCTTTCATGTAAAAGTGAATTGAATGTAAAATAAATGTTTTAAAAAACAGGTTTTTGTCACAGTTTAGCATATCAGTTATATGATGAACGATTAATGAACGGCTTCTTAATGATACATGCCATTTTCCTCTGTTTTAATTAGTTATTTTTTGTTTGAATTATAAATTAAACAATGATAATAATAATAATAAATACTGTATTAGGACTCTGTAGGATTTAAGTAAATTTCATCCGGTTCCAACGTGGGAAATTTGATTAAATCGAAATATATCTCAAACCAAAAACGATGAGTTTGTGAAGTAGGGGGGCTTTCTTTATGTGGTGTCGTTGTATGTAAACATCATTTAGCATTATGTCTAAATATAAAATCATCATAATAAAATGTATAACTCGATCTAACTTTAATTTACTTTTACTTGGACAGGTTGTCATTTATAAACCAAACTGACCCTGGTTAGATTTACCATGTGGAAATATTACATATTATTATTATTATTATTATTATTATTAGTAGTAGTAGTAGTAGTAGTAGTAGTATTAGTAGTAGTAGTAGTATAACAGTTGAATATTTCACTGAATGTAAATTAACTGCATTTTCACTGCATAAATCGTTTTTTCAGATGGCTTAAGAGGAGATTATTGCTCCATCACGATCGCTTCTCTGCTGGCTGGATCTGAATCGTTAGTAAATGACACCATCGTGAGCTTAAGGAGCACTCAGCCCACCGCTTGTGTTCCAGATGGCGTTGGTTTGATTCTTGTAGCCGCTCTTCATGCACTCGTCCACATAGGATTTGGGGTCGCAGCCGGACATCAGGATCTCTCTCAGCAGGGCGATGTAAGCTATGGCCAGTCTCAGGGTGTCAATCTTCGACAGCCGCTTTTCGTAGGGAAACGTCGGCACGTGGCAGCGAAGCTCCTCGAAGGCAGAATTGATGCTGAGCATCCTCTTCCTCTCCCGGATGTTGGCGGCATGCCGCTGCACCTTGTATGGCTGATGAGGTGCTAACGTCCGCGCACTGAGCTTGGTCACATCCAGAGACTCTTCGGTGGGGGAGCTCTCTCCCCCAGGACAGACGCCAGGGCCTGGAGACTGAAGGTCGAGATCGGTGAAGGTCAGCTGTGCGTCCGGGAACACGGACTGACAGCCGAACGAGGACCAGGGTGAGAGCTGGCCAGTGGCTGCTGTGCAGTCCAGCAGGAAGGTGTCCAGTTGGCTCTGAAACGGGAAGTTCTGGTCCATCTGTCCCCATAATGCAAAGTCTGCCGTGCCATCCTGGTCGAAGTCAAAGAGTAGGTCCTCCATACTTTAAAACGATATTTTCCTGTCAGGGAAAATAAACTGTGCAGGGGTGATGGACAAAGTCCCTACAGAGGAAAACAGACGTCTGATAACTACCTGCCTGCCTGCTCTAATCTGTTGTGTGGTAGCTTCATGGGCACATCTCCTGGATTAAATACTTCACGGCCTTCATACTTCCCGGCGGGTCGCCCTGACCAATTCTAAAGGCTGAAAGAGAGCTCTCAAGAACTCCTTACCCCTCTTTGTACGGCCATCATTGCTGTAAAACAAATTACAGAGGGATCAGTGGATCTCCAACTGACAAAAAGCGGAGAAAACACGTGTCTAATTATAAACTTCCCCTGAAGTAGGTCCGCTAATATTGAGAACGACACTCAGTGTTTAGCGGTGACTGGAGGACTTGTTTAGAGCATTGTGGCGCAGCAGGCCGCGCAAACCCGGCAACCTCTGAATGAGACTGTTTTACCTTTAAAAGCTCGGCTGACAACAAACGTCGCTGTCAGAAACACATGAGAGCTCTTTGTCACCGCAGAATGTAACGAGATGTAACGAGAGGGGCGCCTTTTCTGTTTGGCCTCGGGTTTATTGCGCGTTTTTACGCACTGAGCTTAGATCCCAGCGAGACGAAAAATATTCCAACGGTATCACCGCAACTCGTCTCACATAATTTGGGTCCAGCAGCCACATTAATAGGTTTGTAATTTGTAAATGATATGACTGACAAACCGTGGAGAGGAGGCACGCTGTAATTACGCCGGGGTTAATCAAATACGCGGGTTCTTTCTTCGAGGTTGGATGAAGGGCAGCTTTGGGGTGAACTTCAATTCAGCAGTGCTGTGCGCTTGCTAACACGTGGTTTTAATTTGAAAAAGTCCTCCAGGGCATTTTAAAGAGAATATGCTTGTCGGAGTAAACACAAGCGGCATGAAACACTTCCTCAGACGACAACCGATCAGGTGAAGTCTGTGGCTGACAGTCGGTGGTGGAGCCAAGCCTCGGACCTGTGGACAAATTGTGCTTTAATAACAGCGCACTCACATAAGGTGCATGGATGTTTTCGTCACCGCCGTTTATAAATTCCACTAACCTGCCAGAGATTGGAGATGAAAACGAGCCTGTATAAATCAGGCATGACGGACCCAACTGCTGATTTTAACTGATGTGCTCTGTCCTTTTTTTCATACATAAAATCTCAGACTTGCTGAAAAACTGTGCTTGTGATTGTTTATCTAATCTATTTTCCAGGGATTTCATAAAAAGTCCCTTTAAACAAATTTCTTCGTATATTTGGCCCCGTTTCCTGATTATTTCTTGGCTGTGTTGGAGAAGTTAAATAAGGCGTTGAAATAATTTATTTGAAATTTTTCAGATGTGAATTTTACTAAAAACAAGTGATCTCCGAAGACACAGTTGTTGGCTTTTACTCAAGAAGGAAGGCCACAGCCCTATCGCCATTAATCTCCAGTAAGTCTGATTTCCCTGAAGGGACTTTAATATTTATCTCAGGAAACAAATTCAGCTCTTCTGTTTTCCACAAGATTGAGTTTCGATAGTAAATGGACCTAAAGGTTCGGTGTTGTTCTAACTCCTTGCCATCACGCACCAAATTCCCCCATGAGACCGTCGCGGAGGAGAAATATGAAAGGACGACAGTGGGACGGGTGTACCGACTCCAGAAAAGTCACTTATTCTGGATTAATGTGTAATCCTTACAATATAAAGTGCCTGAATTTAAATTTCCTTTAATCTGGGGTGAATGTTAGACTGGCTGTTAGAAACGTGAATGGTTAAGGAACAGAGTACTGGAACATCAGCAGCAGGTTCCAGTGTGTGAAGCTGCATCAACCACAGCAGAAATCAATCTCCACGCCAGGCCTCGGCTGGAGGTGTGATATCATGTGTGAGCTGTGGGGTTCAACCACAAACATCAGAGTTTAACTAAAAAGCTTAAAAATGTCACATTTTCACCACCTGGATTAAAATAAAGTTCGTCCCAGTGACGGAATATTTAGAGTTTTAAAGCTCAGTAGCTGCATTATGCGATTAAACCTTAATAAACTCACATCAGACACATTTAACAATAGGATCCGTCTGCTTGGCTTTCTTAGTGAGTCCTGTCAGGACCTTCTGCTGTTCTGTCGGCAGCACTTCCCCCCCAGCTGACGCGCGTTTCGGGATCAGATTGGCATTATTGTTTCTACAAAGCTTTGAGAGCCCTGAAGGCCCGAGGGCTTTGAACGAGCCATAGAATCGTCCAGAAAAAGAAACAAGATGTTAAAAAAAAATTCTATTTCCTCCTCAGTGTGTCGTGATTTTTATTTTGGGTTAAAGTAGCTATTAAACCCAAACCCCTCTGAAACATATAGGCAGGTCTGCGGCACTGCGGTGCCTGTATGTTTGGATGTGGATGGGATCTAAAATCCCTTTTTTAGAGCTTTAAGCTCAGAGGACCGGACAACACGGAAAAGTCAAGTGCGCCTTGGACGCTGCGCAAGCCACATGCTTACAATTAGAGCTGCGGTTTTGAGGCCGTTTCCCACCTGGGAGTTACTGTGTGGAAAACAAGGAAGGTAATGAGACCAGGAATAAAACTGATGCGCACCTGCTCTTTCATGGTCTTTAAAATAGTATGAATTCTGATCAGTTTCACAGTGGGCTGGGTGCGTGGGGGGTATTGTGGAGTTAGCTCGCTGACAAGTTGTGTCATTTCCTTCGACTCCACAGAGTTGCTAAACTCTGGTTTGGTTTCAAGAATGCTTTGGTGTGTCTGAGCCCCAGCACCCTCTTTATTATTATTAATCTTTATTCTTTCTTATAAAACTTTCACAATCTCGCTCAATATTTAGTCTTCTCCACCCCCAACCCCGCTCCTCACTTCAAAGGGCGTTATTTGGACTCTCATATAACCCCGACTCCAACCGAAACACCTCCACATCCCCACCACAAACTCATTACTGAAATGTAATGATTTCTATTATAGGATCTTGTTTTCTGTCCCCCCCCAAATGAATTTTGATTCCCACAATGTTACTGAAAACAGATTTGTTCCCCCAGATAATACAAGCACACCCACACACACTTAGTGAAAGCTGTGAACTGCAGACATGAGTTTGACCATTCGCCATAAATGCAAAACAACAATGAGAAAGATTAACATTTCATGGTTGTGTTCAGTGACGCATATCTTGTTTGTTTGGGTACAGGCCCGATAAACATCATAGTACTGAAAACCTCTGGGATCTGTCTTGGCGGGTCTGAGAGAATGGCATAGCAGCCAAGAGTAATCTCCAATGTTGACCACAAACAGCTCTTTGATCCATGCTGGGACTGAGCCATTAGAGTGTCACGGCACATTGAAGTGATAACTCAGAGCAGAAGTTACCCTTGACCACAGATCAGGATTCAGATAGCTCTGGGCATTTTACCTTTAAAGGTTACCTACAATCAGCATTAATGCAATGAGCAGTATGTGCCCAGCATCAAAGGGCGTGCCAGTTAACTGGAGTAAAGTAATGCAGGAAATGCTTTGACTGATTGCATGTAAAACTCTTGCATATAAAGAATTTGAGGTGACATTTCCCCCATAAAATGTTGGGGAACACACATCAGTGTATTCACACACATTAAAGCTGTTGTGTGAACACAGACACACACACAAAAGTAATTGCTGTGATCTTTGCCATCAAGACAAACCCAGGTACTTCTACAAAACCTGACAAAAATGTCTCTGACTCTTGAAGTCATGAAGCAGCTGACTGGCTCGGTGCCGTTCCTGTCTGCAATTCAGGCCCAGGTCTAGTCTGGAAAAAGCATCACAGTCATAAAGTGGCTCTTAAGCAAACACCCCTGCGGGGGCAACACCCCTCTCCCTGGACTTGTAGGAGCCTGAAGATGGATCTATGCCTATAGCTCAATAAAAACTCTCTTTTTTATTTGTCTTTTGTAGTAAGGGCGTGTAATGTGACTTCATATGTGTGCATGTGTTTAGAGCTTCGGTTTAATGCACTACTGCATTTACACTATTGCATTTGTGCACCCATTAAGATTTTGTAAGTCATTGTGGACTGTATGAAAGGTCGCAGAGCCCATGGATGTTTAATCAGTAGTTAATTCTTTTTTTTTTTAAGCTGGCAAAAAAGAGTTTATGATTAAAATACTGGTAAAAAAAAAGTCTCATTAATGCAAAAAAAACAGAATTCTAAACTGTTTTTGTACATTTACAGAGCTTTGACAACTAAATTACAGGTAACAAACATTTCCCAAACTGCACGATTGTTAACTTGACTTTTGCAGCATTTATAATAACACTGCTTATTGTAATAGCTGGGAAATACAAGGAGTATGTAGTAACAAAAACACTCTGAGATCAGATAAGAAAGTATGGAATTTAGTAGTTTACCAGCACAGGTCATGTCAGACTTTAAGTTTTCAAAGCAGGAGAGACTGACAGATTATCTAAGACATAGAAACTGAAACATTATGTTAGTTATAATTTGCCTTAAACGTGTAAGATGTGTTAATTTTAGTCTTTTTTATTATTATTGTATGGACTTCATGTGTCTAAGGCAAGATTTAGGAATTGTCCATCCAGGCCTCATCAAGCAAGCTGTAATAAACATTTGACCAACTTACAGATACTAAAACAAACTAAAGATATTTCTTCCGTGTGTTTTTAGTTTATTTTCATTAATGTTCACAAAGTAATGTCAGTTAGTTTTAGTGATTTTTAAAAGTCTAGTTCATTTTTATTTTACTAAAAAATGTGTATTCACATCTATTTTTAGTTTTTAATTTACTTTTAGTTAACTATAATAATCCTGATCCTTTAGCCATAGCCATCTCTCACTACCATGATGGCCTCACCTCTTCTTAATCACAACTATAAAAACCATTAATTAATCATTTAAAAGCACAATATTCATATTGGTGCGTGTCTGATGTATCCATTGCGTTTGATGGTTTTATTTAAAACTAACTAACTGAACAGATAAGATGACAATGAACAAATTCCTCTTGTACATCATTTTATACAGTCTATGCTTTTAAGTGAACTGAATATGTGGAAAAGTTTCACATCAGATACTAAAAACATTTACATTGTATTTATTTTCTATCAACAGCTGTTCATTATACAGTCATTTGTCCACTTCTACTTTACATAACTAACAGCCCAAAATGCCCATACTGATGATCTCTAGTACTAATGGTTTTGTTTGGAGGCTGTCATTTTAGCAGGATACTCTTGCTGAAACAGATGTGAATATGCTCCTTCTGCAGCTCCACTTCCTTGGAACTAAATACTATCAGTTCCGTGGAGACTCATAGACACAGGCATGATACTCAGGAGATGGTCTTAACAGGCACGGGGGCGTCTTAGG